GGGTATAGTTTCTTAAAGAGAAAAGAAGCTATACTTACCTCTTGGACACCGCATATACCTACGAAAAGATTCCCTGTTCTGTGTCGTCATTATAGAGTAAATTAAGAAGGCTACTACTCTGTAACACTGTCAAATATCAAAAAATTAATCGCCCAAATCTGTTTCCACTATATGAGTCAATTGTTTATGTTTTTAAATCTGATGATCTCTAAATACTGATACAAAATCTGCCCACTATACATATCAGTTTTGAGAAATTTAACAGTATGTATCTTTTAATGAAATGTTCAATTCTTTAATGAGGTGCATTGTGATCCTAATTCTATATATATTCAAAGTGTACTAATTATTTTGCACTATTTACGAATTTAAATTCTGCTAAATTTCCTAAACTGATATTTTTTTTTTTTTCTTTAATAATCGTGTACTAAAATTTTATTAAGATATAACATTCAATACAAGATTAAAATACTTAATATTTGATTAGACTAAAAGCCGGCTGTCTCTTAAAGATGCCCAACTTTGGTTATCGCACTGATGATTGCCACTATACCCCACATATGGTGTGCCGCATTTAAAGATATAATATAGCTTGGGCTCAGCTTCCAACTCGTCAAGACCTCACTTTTCCTTCAAATTCTTCCTTCTTCTCAAGGGGCACGAGACAAAAGGGGAAAAATTAAAAAAGAATCTACGAAAATGACCAAAAAAAAAAAATCAAAAAAAAAATCAAAAAAAAAAACAAAAACAAATTGCAAAAAAGAAAAAACATAAAAAGAAATCTAAGATCCTAAAGGCACTATTATAACCCGTATGTAGCTGGTAAAAATTGTATAACAAGTGCAATGCTTGTATATCTCTTTTGTAAGACTATGCTTTAATGTTAAAGTTACTTTCTGATCTTCCTACCAACTCCGAATCGCTTTGTTGCCCATTCTAATTTGTATCTCGAGCCAGGTGCTGCTGTTGTCCGAGGGTTACACTTAACCTAACCCAAGAAGGACCCATATCTCAAGTTACCTACTGCTGTAATTAGAGTTCCTAGGCCGAGTCTCGTGAAGTAGTGCCATATCTATCCATAAACAAACACGTGGTTGTATTCTGCTAGTCCATTCAAATTTGAGATATAAACAATGCCAATCTTTTGGAGAGGGTAAGCCAAATCCCTACATTTTATCGAAATTTTTTGGAAGACCGATGAGGAGACGAGAAAAAGTAAAAGGGAACCACTTGACTCAATAAAAGAGAGCGGCTTGAGAAAAATTCATTCTTTACTGTTCCTCAGTTGTTTTACAACTGATAGCTTTGTCGATGGTAGGCTTGAACTACTATCACCTCCATCTATCCACCAAAATTTCATATACAAGGGCACCATCAACTGCTAGTTATCGTGTAAACAGACGCTTTTGGCTTGCATATCAAATATATAAAGGAGTTCTCAAGAATAGAGAAATGTTAACCTTTATAAAAACTGCCCTGTTGAAGTCACCTCACTACAAATTACTACTCTCTAGTATTGAAAAAAAGCTTTTCTTTTTGTCAGAAAATTTGGTCCAAGTGATTGTCAGAAAGAGTTAACCTAAAAATATATAGCCTAAACTGATATGTATAATAGACTGATATTGTATCAATATAATAGTTTATTAGATTTGAAAAATTATAAATATTGTCACAGCTGAAGCTGGAAATTGGAGATCTTGATTTACAAATAAAAACCTTGCCAAAATTTATTTAACTCTTTTATATAAAACTACCACCAAATCTACAACCTAACTTTGAAAATAAACCCCTAACAAAAGGCCCCAAAAATTTTTGAAAATTTCATATTAAAATAATTAAAATTTTTAGCATCAGCTACAACAATAATTAATAGCTTATAATGTTATCAAATCTAATGATTTCTCAATACTAACACAAGATCTATCTACTATAGCATATTGGTTTAGTGAGATTATTAGTAGTTAAAACTGGGCAGTGAAGCTGCTTACGTGTGTAATTGTTTGTTATAACATATTGATTACAATATTATGAACCAAAAAAATTTTACACAATTAGAGTATGTTTTTGAATATGACCAATCATATCTTCAGACAATTTTAGACTCTTTAGATTAAGCCCAAAAAATATTGGAAATTATGGACTTTGCTGCAATTTAAGAAATTTATATGTTTGGCAAAACTATTATAAACGAAATATTAAGTCTCACTTTGCTAAATTTCTGATTGGTTTTTGGTTGATTAGGTAATAGATTAAAAAACTATCATTTGGAATTTTCTAACAAATTTGAGATTTTTAATTTACAAAAAATCTTTATAAATTATAATTTTATCTTATACAGTATTAAACTAATAAATTAATAAAATATTTTAGTAAACAAAAATTATTATAATAGCTATTATACAGTACATAAACATCAATGCAGTACGTATTTATTTTATTGCATATTATATTTAGGAAACATATTTAACATTAGTTTATATAAGTCTATAATAGAGGATTTGAATATATTTAAAAATTTTTATGTTTGTTTTATTTTTAAAAATAAATTTTAAGAAACTTTTTATTTGTGAATCACAAAAAGATTTTCTGTATTAGTTTCAAATTAATACAAGAACATAAATTTTTAAAAAAATTAAACAATAAAGATCTCTTAAACAGAATTTTGTACAATTTGAACAATACACAGAAGAAATTTCTTGTACTGATTTTTTGAGGCTGCTAAAGAATATTATTTAGTTTTTTTTTTAGACATAATTCACCAATAAATTTTACATTTTAAAATTACTATATTAAACATATAGTATTCAACATCCTTCTTTAAAGATTTATTATAAAAGAATTTTGCCTACATTTTGAAAGAATACGCAGTTTTAACCATTTTATTCAAATACTTTTATAATTAATAGAATTTTAATTATTTCTTCTTGAAAGGTTTAGTTAAAAAGATTGAGATTTCTTATCAATTTTGTATTTATCATACAAATATTTTCTTTTTCATAATAATAAAACTTTTTGTTGCTATATTAGAAAAAGTAAAAACTTACTATCTTCTAGCTCATGTGGAAAACATATCAGTGAACAAGTATTGTGTTTTAATTGTATGTATTTACATAGATTTCATTATAGTATTATGCGTAATCACATTTAGATCGATATAAATTAGCCAATTAGAGATCTTGAGATTACAAGATTATTTGACTTGTTTTCAAACTAGTCATTATTGTGTATTTATGAATTTAAAATTAACCATAGCAGGCAGATCCTCAATTTTGATTGGCTAATGACCAAGAATCTTCAAAATTTTGGCCTGCATTACAAAATTGGTTACTAATTTCTGGCCGGAATTAACTTTTTAATTTTTTATTGCAAAAATAGAACTAAGCCTGTATTATAGTAAAATAGGCTCAAGAACAATTTTCACTTAATAGGCAGCTATTATTTTACTAGCAAAATTATGAGTATTTCTGGTCTAATTTTTCTTAGCCAATCAAAGTCAAGAATCTGCTGGTCCATGGTTCATCAAATATAAATATTTGGTCCCCAGGTTGTATAAAATCTATATGCACAATGTCCTTATAAGCACATGTTTTTAAATATTTTTACATGTTTTTAGCTAGAAATGTGTACGCAATTCACAAGATTTTTAGCCACATAGTGCACCAAATTTATAATAAAATCTTAACAATGTGCACATAATCTATTTTTATATATGCAAATTAAATAAATATTTATATAAAATGTTTTATATTTACTTAATGTTTCTCTAAATATTATCTATAATTATATAACTTAATAGGATAAACCTATTTTATTTATATATATCAATATATATGTTGTAGATAGAAACAGAATTTAAGTAGATTTGGAATTTTATATAAAAAAAAATTCTGTTTTTATCTACAACATATATCAATATATACAGTACATATATATGTTATGCATCATTTTTTAATTTGCATCAATTATTAATTAACAACTATTATTTTTTAATTTGAAAATAACATATGTCATTTTTTAATCAGTGAAATTTAAAGTTAATAAAAAAAGCTTTATTATAGCATATTTGAAAATTATTTAAATGCTAAATTTATGCATATATATTTGATTAAATATATTTAATTATATATAATATTCGATATTAACTATTTTTGCATTGCCCGCATAAGACACATCTTCTTGAGTACACTGAATTGTTTTTTTGACAAGAACATGATTTGGTACTACAGTTTATTTTTCGGCAATTACAAAAATCTGGAAGAGATTTTTAGCTTGAGCCAATATTATAATCATAATTTGTATGGCTACTTTTATTAAAATTTATATAATTATAAAATAGTAAAAAAAAAAAATCATAGGTATAAATAAATTTTTTTTTATTTATTTAAAAAAATGGATGTCCTGGAATATTCTGAGTTAGACATTCTTGATTATTATAACTTGGGCATTTTTAACTATTAGAAGTTGAACATCCTTGAATATTATGAATTGGGCATGTTATATTTTGTTTTGCCCCTGCTTGTCTTAATAAAAACTAATTGTCTACTATTTCATATTTGCATGCAACCTGGTAAGAATTCTGTTTTGGCTTTTTCTAAAGAATTTTGCATGGCAATGATTTTTGATCCAACTTTAATTTATCAATATCAGGAATTCTAATTTTTACAAACTCTTCAGATTTATAAACTTGAATTCTTTTAGTTTTATACTTTATTTATATTGAGTTTTTAATAAGTTTATAGTTTTTTTTTACATTTTGAATTGCATTTTGACGAATTAATCCATGTTTTTCATGTATTGAATTTGTAATATTGCATAATAGCATTCTTAGCTAAAAAAAGAAAAAGAAAAAATAGATTAGTATATATATAATAATAATTAAAAATTACAAGTTATGATTTTAATTATAAAAAAAATTACATTACCACTCTCAATTGTTTCTTGTGATTTAATACTTTCTTCTTTTACTAATTTAGGTGATTCAATAGTATAAGCTTGTCATTTTTCTTTTTGTTGAGCAGTATAACATAGAAATTTAATTGACTCTGTATTATTTATATTAATAATATTCTGTATTAAATTTTCTAAAAAGTCATCTGAGTCTAAAATACTTGTTTCAAAACTATTCTCAATTTGGAATTCAGAATTTTCTAAATAAGTATTTTCTAAATCTAAATTAGTTGAATTAGAATAAGTTAATATAAAGTCTTCTAAATTAGAATATCTAGAATCAGAATCTTCCAAATTAGAATTCTCAAATTCACTAGTGCTATCATTAATTTCAGAGTTTTCTAAGAGCAATTCTTGATTATAAGAATTGTTATTTTCTAAAATATTAGCTGTATTACTTTCATTATGTGGTAATTGACTGAATATTAAATTATAAGGTATTGTTTTGTAAGCAAAACAATACTAATTATTTATTGCCCCTATATTTTAAAATAGTATAAAATAAATTAAAATAAATAAATTTATAAAGGCAAAAAACTATAACAAGAATAAAATTACTTACAAATTATATGCATTAAACCAATATTCTAGTTATTTCTACCTGTATTCTTCATCCATGCTCCTAATTTTATCTGAAGAATATTATTTTCTTTTTCTACAAGCCCTTGATGGCAAAAAGTTCTAGGATGACCATGAGCTATTTTAATTTTTGGCAAATTAGAATTTAACATTTCTTTAAAATCATTTCCAACATATTCACTCCCATTGTCAGTATGAAGAATAGCTGAAAGACTCTAAAGAAAACAGAAATTTTTAAAAATAAAGCAGCTTCCTGTACTGATTTGTTTTGTGCTAATTTATATAATAAAAACATGTAAAATGGTCTTGTGCATGAAATATATAGTGATATTTTCCATTTGGAATTACTAACATATCAATTGTATCAAGCTAATTTTTTTATTATATAAAAATAAAAATTTATTCAAAATAACACTCTTTATATAAAATTAATTTTTTTTTACTTGAATATAATTTAAAAAACTTTCAGAGATAATAGAACGTATTGGTGGAATTCTCTTAGAAGCTCATCAAGTTACACACACCTTGCACTCATGTATTGCATTTTTAACTAATTGTTGCAAAATATAACAATAGTAATTTAAAAAAAATACTTTTTATTAAAAAATAATAATAATAAAATAAAAAAATAAAAAAATAAATTACTTTTTTTCAAGTTTTTACTTGACTATTATACACAGTTTCTAGATGGGCAGAACAAATTATCTCATAGAAATTTTCAATAGCATAGACTTGTGTTTCCAAGTTAATTTTGCCTTGTTTAATTATATGAAGTTTCTCTATTATACCAATATGAACAATTTTAAATATATGAGTCACCCAATACTTGAATGTTGGGTTATATTGAAAGTTTGGATTTTTTAAAGTATCCAAACACTAGTCATAACGAGATCTATCCATTAAACTTCTTTTGTTTTTTCATTGATTAATAAAATTTTCTAGTATTTGATTAAATGTTTCATAAGTTAAAAAACTATATGTTTGGGAATCTATAATAAGTACTAATAAAAAAATAGTGAATTTTTTTTTTTTTCTTTGATAACCTCATACTAATTTATTAGAAACTTTAGCAATTTACAAAGTTTGCAAAACTAACTATCTAAATTTACAGATTAGGCAAATATCCAGCTGCTATAAAAGTGCCCAAGTATTATGAAGAAAGGTACATTTAAAGAAAACTCTCTAAAAGTTCCTTCATAACCGAAAAAAAATAGAAATTGTACTAAAAAAGAAAACAAAAACAAAAGAAAAAATAAAGCAAATAGAAAAAAAGAAAAGAGAAGCTAAACCAATTTTAATATAAATGAAAATAGATGAAACAAGCAGAAAAAAGAAAAAATTAAGCAATCTGAATACACTATTATAACCTGTGCCAGGTGATTTAAAAATTATATACTTGATACAACATCTGTATATCTCTGTTGTAAGACTAAACTTAACAATAAAATTTCCTCCGACCCATTTCCGAATCTTTTTAATAACCTAGTCTGTATCTCAAACCAGGTGCTGTCTCTGTACTAAGATCTGACTCTTCATATACGGTGCCAACGATGACAAAGATTGCAATATTTCCATAAAGACACCATCACTCAGGTACTAGTATCTCAAGCCACTTGGTGCCGCCACCATAGATTCCTTTTTTGACAGGACTCATTCCAGGGCCTATGCACCGTATTTGTCTCCAAACATGTGATTGCTATTTACTAGTCCATCCAGATTTGGTAAGTAAACAATGCTGATCTTTTGGAGAGATAAGCCAAATTCCCACTTTTTGTGAAAAATTTTTTGAAGACCAATGGAAAAATGATGAGAAGTAAAGAGGAACCACTTGAGCTTCAAACCAATTTAAAGAAGTGTGTTTTTTCTTTTCTATAGTTAAAACCCACTGCCCAACACCTGCTTAACATTTTTTCAGTGAGTAATAAACTCTGGGCTTGTTGGCAGGTAGCCTATGAGAACTACAAGTGCTGAGACTTTGCAGTGAGTGATAAACTCTGAGCCTGTCAGCAAGTAGCATATGAGAACTACTTCTAAATGACAGGTGCTGTTTTACTGTCTAGTATATCAAGTGCTAGCTTATAAGATCTCTTTTTGCAGTAAAATGTTTTTTTGGAAAATATGGTTCAAGTAATCGTCAGAAAGAGTTCTTCAAAAAATAGTGAAATATATAATAAAAAAGAAAGCAAATAAATTAATTTATTGAAAAGAAATATGTGATAATAAAAAATACACTTGAAATATAATAATAAAAAAGGTATTTGAATTCGATTTATTTTCTTATTTATTAATTTAATATAATATGTAATTATTATTATCAGTTATCATACATAAGTTTATCATAATTTACATTTTGTACATTAAGAATCTGTATTAAAAATATTAAGAATCTGTATTAAAAAATTAACTCGGGTTATTTTTCGATTGGTGAAAATTAAACTATAACTTATATCAATTAATTATTGACAAAATACAAGCATAACTAGTGTTTAAAATTCGATTTTGTTTCAATGTGCAGAAAACTTGAAAATTTTTGTAAACATAATAAAAATTCAATAAAATTCAGTATGAAATGTTTGATACATAATAAAATTTGCAGATTCAAAGAATATTTTACTTGCGGAATTAATTTTCAATCTGTATACTGCAGATTCCACATATAGATTTTAAGCACTGTGCATAACATATATACATAAATCACATTTTGTAATACTATTGTTTACATAATATGCAGTAATAAACCATACTTCATAAGTAGATTTGCGAAATTGTCGCACTAAATCATAAATGAATAAATATAAATCTAATCTAGAAAATGTTGAACAACAACAATACAGAATAGTATATAGGTTTAAATTTATATAAATAGATAAATAGATATCTGATACATAGATCTTCATACCAATTTGAAGCTAAAGAAAATATACAGTACAGGCTAAATATACTAGTTAGCAATATTTCGATATATAGACAAAAAGAAGCAGTACAAAAAGTTACTATAAGGTAGATAGTAACAAAATTCAAGCAGCCTTGTTTAGTCAAAGCTAAAGACAAAACTAGTATTTTTTTAAAAAATTTCTGTAAAGATTCTGTATTTCAGAAAATCAGTGTTGACTCTGTAATATAAATCAATTGTGACAACAAACCTGATGCGTAACACATCACTGCTAAAACAAGTAATTAACATAACTATTTGGTGACTCATATTGAGTAAACAACAATCCTCATGTATATCGATATATCAAGCAAATCAAGTATTTAAAATAGAAGAACATACTAACAGGGTTGGCATTGGACAATGTCCAAATAAATTTAATTGGACAATTGGACATTTGGATATTTAGACATAGTCCAAATATCCAAATAATTTTTTGGGCTTTCAGGCATTGGACAATGTCCAAATAAATTGTAAGATTATTGGACATATATCCAAATAGTCAATTAGACATATGTCCAATTGTTCAATAATTTTATTGAACAATTTTAATAATATGATAGCAAAAGCTTTATTGCTTTTAACTATAATAATAATGTTTACCATTTTTATTTTTATTTTTTTTAAACCTTTTTACTCTTAAATTTGCAATGATAATTTATTAATAAATGTTTCTAATTCAAAGTGACGACCTTGGCTAATTATTTTATTTAGTGTGCTTTCTTTTATAATATGCCTTCATTTTAAATTAAAATTAAAATCAACTGTTGTCATTATTCCTTTTGAAATACAAATTATTTTATGATTTCTAACATTCTATTTGATTAATCATATTTCACTAAAGCAATACCAAATATATATATATTTAAAACTTGTATATACGTATATAAACATGTTGCAAGTAAAATGGTATTTAAGTTGATTCAATAGTGTGAATACATACGTACAATGCATATATTAGTATAATAATAATTATTATTATTATAATTATTATTATTATCAGTATACTTTTTAAATATGCTGTAGATTAGAGTTATTTTGTATTGGTGAATATTGGCCTGAATTAATTTTAATTTAGGCCAAGATTAATTTTTTTTTAATGTCCAATAAAAAAAGTTACTATGTCCAATAAAATTATTTAGACAATTGGACATTGTCCAAATGTCCAATTGTCCAAATTGTCCAAATGTCAAATATCGTAACATGCCATCCCTGCTTATTAAATTTAAAGACCTGTTTAAGAAAAACAAACAGGAAAGTGATATCTTATTCTAAGAGCTCAAGCGAGAAAAATAAATAAAGGATCAAAAGATTGCAATGTGGCTTGGTAAAGATTTAATAGAAATAGTTGCTTAATTAAAAAAACAATCGAAATGTTTAAATGGCTAAAATGCAAAGACACAAGAGGCGATATTCTAACAACAAATTAACAAGATTTTTTTCACTACCCAGCTATACTACAAGAAAACAAAGCTATAGCAACAAGTAGTAAGGTGTCACACATCAAAAAAATACTTCTTTTGACAGAATGTGGTACTACTGATTATGAAGTAGAGAAGATTCTGAATATAATCAATTCAGATCAAAATTCACTAGCTTATACTAAATACGAGTCTCAAGTCAAAATGCCAAGCGACTACAATTCAAAAAGAGGTATAAATAGATTGAAAGATAGCCCCAATGAGGCTACCTCCAAGTGTATATGATATGAGAAAACTGCACAAAACAACAAAATAGAGGAGGCATTAAATCATTTCAATCAATTTACCAAGACTACTCCAACAGTAAGAGAAAAACTACACAAAGTTACAACATGTCTTACATTATGGAATCTGCTGAATAAAACTAAGGCAAATCAAATTAGAAAAGCTCTAAGTTTTTTTGAAAGAGCAATAGTCAAATGCTTTATGTCTAATGGCAAAACAAAGGCCGTACAAGTTGAAGTTACATTTAGAAGTCACAAAAAAAGTGATGAATTACAAAACTTGTGGGAGATATTCTTCAAAAATGGCAAGATGATAAAAATAACTCCAGGGTTCTTAGACAAAAAAACACTTATAGAAAGGAGCAAATTCAAATCAGTTGTCAAGAACCTAGCCAAAATAGTAGCAGAATTAGCACTATTAAAACAACTGAAAAATATAAAAGCAAAAGCAGTATATATCTCAACAAACAGTAATAGAAACCAAAGAGACACAGCCTCAATATACTTTGCTTCTAAAAAAAACCAAGTAAGAGCAATAGAACAAACAGTTTACTATTTTAATACAAAGCTAGAATGAGCAAACTTGGATAGTGAGAAATTCAAGAAACCATATCAACAAAAAAAAAAAGAGCAGTATCTTAAAGTTCTGAGACACCAACATTAACTGCTTAACAAATAAAAAAAATATAAATCAAAAAAAGATGACTACAAATTTATTAAAGAAAAAAGGTGTTCATAAACCTAGATGCAAACTCAACAATGACAACAAGAAACAACAGCCTCCAAATAGTCTAAAAGTCTGAATAGAAAGAAGAATTCAAAAACTTAGCAAGTTGTAAAAAAAGAAAAAGAAAGAGAGAATATCCAAACAGACTTGCTGTATGAAATTCTAAAGAGGCTTGAATTACTAGAAGAGCGCCAGGTTAGGGGCAATAGCCCCAATTACTCCTAAAAGATGCTACTGTAGAGTGTCTGGCACACCAAAAAAAATTTGGCATGTCATAGGCATGCCTTTTGTTAAAATTTGTGCCATGGCATGCCAAAAGGCATGTCATAAAATATTATATTATTTATAATACTATATATATAGTTTGAATATTGTAAGTATAATTTTTATACTGTACCTAGTGGCATGCCAAATTTGTTTTTGGCATGCCACTGTTGGCATGCCTTTGCTACTATACTAGATACTCTATGTTACTGGTGTCTTAACAAATACAGGTACCTGAATAATAGCCAGGTTTGGATGCAGATAGTACTTAAACAGGCTAAATATACATAGACATAAATTAAATATGTTGTTTAACTGAGGAGAAGAAAACAGTTTTAATGTATTAGAGATTACAGAGACAAATTTGCAAGAGAATAAGGAAAGGTTTATAGTAAAGAATAGTATTAAGTTTAGAGGGATTTGGTCTTTAGCTTTGAAAACAAAAAAGAAGGGTTTTGGAGTAAAGCTTCTTATTAAAAAAGAGCTAGAAAAATATATAGACAAATAGAGAAGCTAAATAAATTTTTACTAGTAGTATATCTATACTTTAAGAATTACAAAGTGATAATTTTAACAGTATATATCTTCCTGGCAGACAAAGATGCTACAAAAAAGATAGAGACTATGATATAAGAAAAAATAGCCAGGTTTCAAGAAGACACACTTATAGTAGTAATAGGGATTTTAACTATGTAGTAGATCCTATATTAGATAAGTCATTTCAAGTTGATAGTAACAAAAGACTAAAATATATAATTAGCTTAAAGAACAAAAGTTTGTTAATATATACAGACTACTTAATTCACACGAAAGGAAATTTACTTGGAGTAATAGCTTAGTAGCAACAAGAATAAACCAAGTATAGATATTAAAAGAAATGATAGAATTAGTATATAAAGCTGATATATATAAGATAACAACAGTTACAGGAAGCAACTATAATTTGGCATATGCTAAGATCGCTTGGAGTATAGCAATGTCCTTAGAGAAACAGATAGATAATTGCTTACCTAATACAAAGCAAAGAGTTTGAAAACTTGACAAGGCTACAGAAGAGAATTGGTATAACTACCAGAAATCAATTAAATAGTAAAGAGCTTAATATGCTCAAAGGATATATCTTACTAGTAGAGGCAAAGGTATTACAACAACTTAAAACAAGTCTTGAATATTCATGGAAGTAATAAAAAAAAGCAATTATACAGGTAGGTTGAAATAACTTGCCAAATAAAATAATAGACTTTAAAAAAGGCCAAATTATAAGAACAAAAAAATTAGATTTTTTAAAGTAGCATCTTCACTAGGCAAAATAATTAGAGAAGCAAAGTCGATAAATAAAGCTATGCTACAGAAAAAGGCCCCAATATTGAATAAGAAGATTAAACAAATAAATACATGAGCCGATAGCAATATTAATGAAATTATATTAACTGAAATATTAACATGGTGTGAAGAAGTGACTACCTGGTAGAAAGTAATAAAAAGCAAGCTGGTAATGGATTATAAAAAAGCCAAGAAAAAAGAAATCCAGCTATATGTTGTGAGGGGTTCCCAATACTCTCAATTTTTTTATATATTTTATCTTATATTATTATATTTATTAGAAATTAGTCGTATATATAGCAGTAAAACTCAATTGAAGAGGAAACTTCTAGAAATAGTAATTAAATTATAGTTTCCAAATATAATTTGTACCATTTTTGGCTGAAGTGCTATATATGGCAGTAATGCTATTAAGTACATTTATTTCATTTTGGTCAGTAATGATCTAAATGCCCTTAAAGGCATTTATGACCCAAATGACCTTTAGTCCTCTTAGTATAGACATAATATTCTAAAACCTGTATTTCTTAAACATGTAAAAAAGTATATAAGTATACTTCAAAATCACAATTAGTAGAAGTACTCCAGTAGTATTACTTATCTTTTCTTTTAGTTCCTAATAAAAAACATTCCAAATACTCCAATTCTTTGTCTTAAGAATTATTGATAAACTTGTAAAATGCTATAGTTCTAAGTAAGACTTAATCTTCGAAATTAGAGTAGAAGTGTCAACCCTAAGTTTCCTGATAACAATTAGATAAATTGATCTTTGCAAAATAAGAGCCCGTGACATAATATGAATTAAGCTTCTGATCTGCTAATATTTACCTATGACATAAATACTAGAATATTAAATTAAGCCTCTGATCTATGATACCCATAATGCAAGAATCTCAGTCAAGCAAGTAATATCTCATGTAACTCATATGACAATTGTTAAGAATCTTAATAATTGTTTCGAAGTTTAAAACCACCAAGCCTTACCATAAAGAAAAGAACCATAATTATCCTTCGGCACAAGTATATTAATCAATCTTGTGAGTATAATTCCAAAGTCTACTCAGCTTAACTGCCAAATACACTGCAGTAAGAACCCAAAGAGCCTCAAAACTTGGACCAAGCCTCTTTACACCTTCTTTCTGCCTACCAATTTGAAGCTATTAGAGTTTTGATAGTGAATTATAGTTGTAGTATTTGAGTTTAATTAGTTTCAGCTTTAAACAGATTAGTTACACTTTTTCAACATACAGAGAAGAGCTGAACAAACAAAAGAAAATGTTAGCTAGTCTACTAGAATGGCCATATAACAAAGTTACTTTAGATAGAGTACATACACAAAGCCACAACTTAACTAAGCTAGCAAATGATCTAGCAGAGGTGTTAGAAGAAGTTCATATACATTTTTAAAACCAATTTGTAAACAAGAAAAATGATAGTGCGGAACTAGAAAGTATATAGTTTGAAGTATATTAACTGAAAAAGCGAATTCAAGAGGCCTGGTATGACTTGCTAAGCCAACCAATTATATTAGAAGAATGGCAGTCAATTTTGAGTGAAAGCAAAATGAACTCAGCACCTGGAATCTCAACAATTACATATATATTATTAAAGCAAGCAAATACCAAATTACAATTGGTGTTTAAGAACTTTGCAGAACTTTGTCTTTGCTCAGACAATATTCCAAGTAAATGGAAAACAACCCAGGTTTATCCAATAATGAAAGAGCAAGATTGGGAATACAATCTAGATAAAAGTTAGACCAATTGCTCTAGTAGATATATTTAGAAATATGTTACAAAGATTCTAACTAAAAGATAAGTAAAAAATCATTAAAGAGAAAAACATTCTTCAAGGCCCTAACTTTGCTGGCTTACCAGGAAACTCAACAGAGAAACCAGTGCATATACTAAAAGCTCTTATTAAAGAGACAAAAAAAAGCAAGAAATGTAGGTTTTGTTTCAAGATATAAAGAAGGTCTTCGATTCTGTAAATCTTATTATACTGCAAAAAGCTCTTAAAAGAATCAAGGTTCTAGATCTATACTGTAAATTGGTTCATAATCTCTTTGTAAATAGAAAACTAAGAATAATAACAGCATATAGTTTGTTGCAAGAAATCATAGCTAAAGGAGTATTTATTAGGGTGAGGCTATTTCACCTCTTTTGTAAAGAATATTCTATGACCCGTTATTGAACTGTATACAAAAAGATGCAAAGTTAGAATATAAAGTTAAAGTGCCAAAGCAGATGAAAACCCTATTAGGTATCAAAGAACCTAAAGGTGCAAGACAGGCAGTTCTTGTATATGCCAATGACACCACAAGAATTGCAAGTTTGAAAACTCAATTAGAGCAAATAACTCAGATAGCAGAGCAGTTCTTTAAACTAAATAGCATAGAAATTAATAGTAGCAAGTTCAAACTTGTTGTATTTAACTCAGAACTCCTCTCTACAAAAGACTGATAGATTATGGTGGTGTACTCATTAGAGCATAATCTTGAATTTCTTGGAATATTTTTACATTTAGCTAAAGAGGTGGTGGAAATCAAAAAGAAAATGAAACAAATAGTAGGCCTTTTACATACAAGTTAGAAAGAAAGAAAACTACAGCTAGCCAATTAATTTATATAAACAATCAAGTTTTAATTCCCAAAATGAAGTATATTCTGCAAACAGTAGCACTAACAAAAAAAGAATTGAATGCAATCCACTAGCCATTTCTGAGACTGATAAAGAAAAAATTAGGAATAGCACAAACTATACCTAATAAAATTTTAGTCCATGGTGGCACATTAGGAGTTAAATTGCTCACTGATGCAGTACTAGCAAAACAGGCCATGGCACTAATCAAAAGACTAAACAGCACGAGAATAGTAAAGAATATAACACAACTAAGAATTAGACAAGGAATACTCAGAAAAGGTATAATGCAAGATGTCTGAAGGCAAAATTTATTTAAAATCACCAAAATTCACATGATTTTTGATTTTTCACTGGTTCTAAAATAATTTAAATAAATTAATATTTGTCGGGGATGATGCTGAAATTGGCTGATACTGAAATTTAGAGTTCCCATTTAAATCTATAATACCTACTAAAATTCACATATACTGTTTTACTAACAACACTAACCCTAAACCCTAACCTAACCTTAAAAAAAACCCCCTAACGAAAAGGCCCGAAAATTTTTTAAAATTTTATAATTAGGTCGAAATTTCAGCATCATCCCCGACAAATATTAATATCATATATTACTAATTTGATATAATGAATATTTATTTATTAAAATAGATTAAATATTATATTAATTGTAATATAGACTAATAGTAAAAAATTTTAAAATATAACTGCCAAAGCAACTTTATTATATAAGTACTATACGTACTGTACGTACAGTACGCTAAAAAATTTTGGTCATCATATAAATGGCACATCACTAGGCTTGAGATTTCAAACAACACTATCAGTTGTCAGTATGTACTTAAGCAGTAAGTTAACAGATTGAAAGATGGTTAAGAAGGCAGATTGCTGGTGGCAATTACGTCAAGGCCAAACAAGTTAATTTTTCGTTTTGCATTACCCGCTGATTCATTTTTCAATTTTTCAATATATATATATTACTTTTTTAAGTTTCAATTGTGCCAATAGTTCTATTTTTGCCATTTAATTTTTTTCCATAAATTAATCCGGTATCACTGAGTAGAAGCCTTATTTTCCGGAATTTTCCGATAGAACTAATAAAAAAAATCGATTGCCGACAAAATTTTCTGATTTCATGTTATGCAAAGCGAAAAATCAACATGCGTGGCCATAAATATGAACATGGTCTATTAATTAATGTAGATTTAAAAAAAATCCGACCCAGAAACAGCCTTTAATCCAATTGGGGTGTATATGAAGTCAAATAATTAGTTGCCTAATTTAGAATTTTAATGGAATATGTACTAACAATATCTATCAGAGGCGAATATAAGACACTTACGAGCAGATCCACAGCTATCTCCGCTAGAAGCAAAATTTGCACCCAAACTTACCCGCCCATGTAAATTTGTATAGAATTTGCCATTTCATGGTAGCTTAAACTTCTTATCAAAGCTGACCTACTTTATGCAGTGTGGGATACCATCGGCTGATGCTACGCATCACGAATTCAATCAATGATGGTAATACCTGGCTGCAATCATTCTATTTCTGTGAGCATATCCCGTCTCAGTTTATACATCAATGCACTACGTACAGTTAACTCCCTCTAAGTGCATGTTTTCTAATCGCAAGTTCTCTTTAAATGCAATAAAATAGACTTGGCCCAAGTTGGAACTTATAATAATTGCAAATTCTTTATTCCATAAGTGCAATATATTTTTTTAGCCGGTATTTTCTCTAATTGCAAGATATTTTATTAACCAATTAAGTTGATTTATTTATTTAAAGGGTTTTCTAAGTTCAAGATATTTTTATTTAACTTATTAACTTGTATTTAGAGAGAATTAATTATACTGTAGACAATATATGCATTAAGTCATAAGAACCGAAATAGACGTTATTTGTGCAATACCAAATATGCTTAAAAAATATACATATCCCTTGTAAATTAAAAGATTTTTAAATTAAGCAAAGATATCTCGACAACCACCAAGTCAAATTTAATGAATATTTTTTATTCGAATTCTATAGGTTTAGAATCCAAATAAAAAAAGTTTACTAACTTTGACTTGGTGGTTGTCAAGATATCTTCGCTCAAAGTTTGAGAAAAATTTTAGCACAGCTTTATTTTGATAGACATTTTGAGTTTTCTTAAAATTTTGAGTGAAGATATCTTGACAACTACCAAGTCAAATTTGATGAACTTTTTTTAGTTGAATTCTATATGTTTGTAGAATTCAAATAAAAACGTTTCATCAAATTTGACTTAGTGGTTGTCGCGATATCTTCGCTCAAAGTTTGAGAAAATTTTGACACAGCTTTATTTTGAAAGACGTTTAGAGTTTTTTTTTAAACTTTAAGCGAAGATATCATAACAACCACCAAGTTAGATTTGATGAACTTTTTTTTTATTTAAATTCTACAAACATATATAATTAAAAAAAAAAGGATTCATTGAATTTACTTGGTGGTTGTCAAGATATCTTTGCTCAAAGTTTTAAGAAAACACAAAACACCTATCAAAATAAGCCTATGTCTAAATTTTTCTCAAATTTTGAGCGAAATATCTCAACAACGACCAAGTCAAATTCGATGAACTTTTTAATTTGGATTTTACTAATATATAGAATTCAAATAAAAAAAAGTTCATCGAATTTGACTTGGTGGTTGTCGAGATATCTTCGCTCAAAGATTTAAAAAAAAACTCAAAATATCTATCAAAATAAAGCTGTGTCAATTTTTTCAAACTTTGAGCGAAGATGTCTCGACAACCACCAAGTCAAATTCGATGAATATTTTTTATTTGAATACTACAAACATATAGAATTCAAATAAAAAAACGGTTATAGAATTTGACTTTGTGATTGTCGAGATGTCCTCGCTCAAAGTTTTAGGAAAACTCAAAACGTCTATCAAAATAAAGCTGTGTCTAAACTTTCTCAAACTTTGAGCGAAGATATCTCGACAACACCAAGTCAAATTCGATGAGCTTTTTTTATTTGAATTCTACAAACATATAATTCGAGTAAAAAATATTCATTAAATTTGACTTTGTGTTGTCGACTTAAAGCTAGAAAAAATTAATTTTCAGGGGGAATAACAAAATTGGGGTATGTATATTGGCCGCCTTTCGGTAAATACTGTAGCACATCAATTCAGAATCGACGTAAAATCAGAAATGACGCTGAGTTACCACCCTAGTACGTGCCTTATTTTTTAGTTAAATATGATTATAAGTTAGTACCGGTTTTAAATAATGACAATAGGAAGTTTCAAAGTTAACAAATAAGTGACGCATTTCGAAAATAAATAGGATTTTTTCAATAGTATTTTTACTATGTTGAATTATAAATCGGAAAATAAAATGAGATTCTCTGATTTTAACTTTGAAACCCCCTAATACTACGAAAGTAACACTAGACACTATTAGAAGATTAATTATTAAAATCATTCTCAATAATGTTGGAAATTATCATGTAATTAAGCAATGAACTATGGGAAAATTTTTCTGCGACTATATCTATTGAAGAATAATTATAATTCACAATTGTCTTCCTCAATTAATTTCTATTTTTATTGGTTTTTTTTTTCATCACAATTTCTAATTTCAAAACTCAAGCTTATGACTATTTGATTTTCGCTTTAAACAACTCTTCAAAATAAAAAATAGTATAATGTCTAAATAGTCGGGGTGATTCCTTTAACCATAAATCCATTTCATCAGATAATACTTCAAGTCCTTTTGTACCAAATTTTGCCATAAATTTTCTATAATCAATGAAATAATCTAACCCTTGATCAGTCAAATATTTGTATTCACCTCTAAGAAAAATTGCCTTCGAAATTTTAACACCTGCCCAATCAGTTACTAAAGGACAATAAACAATAAGTGGTGAATTAATTATATCAATATCTAACATCGCAGCTCCCCTATAAAAAAGCTGTTCTTGATAAAACCCAGCATGGTCACTACCAGTAACTCGTAACCAAGAATAAGGGATATCCTTTTCTTTATTATCTTTTGTATATAATATACCTCTTATTAAATTTCTTAATGGAGTTTCATATTCCAACCTTTTCAAATTATCCTTTTTTAAATCAAATGAATGCCGACCATGATTAGGGCAAAAGAAAGAAATTATATCTCCATTGTAAAGATTATTTATTCCATATTTATCTGCCAAACCACAATGAGAACAGGGTACCCTTAGTCCAAGACATTTTGTTGAGGGAAATAACAATTGTCCAAATTTTTCTCGTTCATTTATTATTTTCTTAATTATTTTTGGGGCATTCTTGTGTAAATTTAAATCACTTGAATTTACTATTTCATAATTCATTCCTCCGTAGTGTGAATTTAATTTTTCTAGCAATTCTTTGTAATCATTTATATGATCATTAATTATTCCAGTATAAACGACATTTTTTTGATAAACAACATTATCAAACTTATAATTATCAGGAAATGAGATCCCAGAGTCTACAAGTGCCACTTTAATTGTAACATTTTTACCAAGTTTTTTTAATTTATGAGCAAGAGAAAACGTAAGCGCAAAGGTAATTATATTACCTAACTGAAGTTGACTAGTCGGAATAGTTCCTACACTAATTCTTACATCGTCTTTAGGAATATATTTGAAAATGTAATTAACATATTGTTCTTCGAAAATTAAAGGACCACCGCCCGGTAGTTTATTATTATTGCCATCATGTATATGTTTAATCATAATTTATTCCTTTTTATGATATATATCATATGTAAGATGCAAGACAGAGTTCAAAAATATGCACTTATATTTATGTCTACAGTAGCGCCAATTATCACATTATTGATACACTAACTGCTAAAACAAATGCTCGTACAGTACGTACGTGTTCCGCTACTTACGTACGGTGCAGGAAGTCTAAAAGCCTCAATCACTTTATATAGTTTAGCAAACTCATTGGAAACAAGCTAAATTTGTCACATATTAGGGAGTGTTGCTTATTGCATAATTTCTTTTTATAAAAAGGCCAGACTCTCCCCTTTTAAAATGATGTAATAGATTTTACCGACATTCACATGAATTTATAAGAATATTGATACGGTTTCGGGTATAGTGATAACGATAGCAAATAAAAATTATAGACGTACGTACGTAAGAATATCGATATACTATATGTGTTTTACAATAAATTACCAAATCGGTAACAATAAGTTACTGTTTCGGTCAGCACTAAGGTTTATAGTGAATTATATATAAGTTACTTGGAGCTATTTCATAATAAAATTTTTTCAGCAATGATTTAACTTACTTAATGACTATATTGAATGTTTCAACAGAAACTTAATTTCAATAATCATATTTGTTAATTTCTGACGAAAGTATGGTGGCCGTTGATATAGGACTACTGAATGTGCTTTAAAAAGATGTATATTCGTTGTTTTCCAATTTCAATTATCACATCATGACCATATTCACTTTCAAAAAGTTGAGTAAAGTCTTGTGAAAGCTGGTCTAGAAATTTTAAGGCCATTTTACTACTGCTATGAGCGATTTCAGCAGATAGTGTATATGTACGATACGTATTTTAATGACTTCCGATGTGGTACATGCATAAATATGTGCGTACATAACTCTAACAACATAAACGAGTTAAACACATGAATTGTATGCTAAATAAGTAAGAAATGTATCCCATGATCTTACTAATAGAGTTTTATCTGGTATAAGCAAGATGATTTGTACAATTATATAAAAATGCCAAGTTAATGTTATCGTTATGAATAGGGTTCCAATCAGGATTAAAGATTTCTACCTATGACCCGTTGGAGTGTGCGATATATTATGTAAATCAAGCTATGTGTGGTCACTTATATATTTTAATTAGTCTGATTTTTTAATATCATAATCTGCTGCTCATATACTCCCATGTGCTGTACCCGGGAGCATTCTGCGGGCAAAAATTCGGGTTTAACCTGATTATTATAAAATAAAAGAAATAATAAAAATTTAATTACAGTCATCCCTCCATATAATCACCCCTATATAGTCACAAACTCTATATTTTTTTATATTAAAAATACCGCTATATAGTCACAATTATATTATAATCACTATCACACTTTTTTAAAATTTGTTGGATGATTTTAATAATAAAATTACCTCCTTACAATCATATTCATAACATAAACCAAAAAAAAAATGACCCGCTCACTCAGACTTTTATTTAAAAATTTTAAAATTTTTTATTAAAATTCTATTTTATAAAGTTATAACTCGGAAATACATAAGAAAACAGTAAGAATTCCTGGTTTACTTTGGGTTAAGCCCAGTTATATATATATAAAATAATCCCGGTTCCAACTAGGTATGAGGTTGTTAGACTAATTAAATATAAATTATTATGTATTATTACGTGTTTATTATTATAGACTCCATTCAAATTATTAGTTTATTACTCTAAACTAGAGATGCAATCCGTTATCCATTTTCCTTCTTTATAATAATTTTGTTATAAATTTATATTAGAGGATATCCGGATCGCATCTCTAACTCTAAACAAATATTCAAACCAATCTATTATTATTAGAACTAGTAATGGCATGCGAATGAATTTTGCGAATCCTGCGCATGATTTTGTAGATATATATTTTTTAATGTGCTTTGTACAGTACAAATTTACAACCATTTTAAATAATTAAAAATATCAAAAGACCTGTTATTATAATAAAAAATAGAGATTTAATAAAAATTGCTAATTAAAATTTATTATCATTGTCTAAGTCTCTGAAAAACTTTGTACAGTATATTCTTATAATAAATTATTGTCTATCACAAGTGTTTTATACATTTTTACAAGGCGGATTTGAAAACTTTGGGTCACAGCTGTTTCCAAAGCTAAAATTTGCACGTTTCATCCTTTCTCGTTACTAACTCTTGGAAACTGCGTAACTATTTTTCTTCGAAACAACGTTGTAAATTTCGATTTTCGAAGAGTCAGGTGTATTCCTACATCATCATCAAATTTCAACATATTTATTCATGTTCTTATTCAGCCTAACTTGCCAAAAATTTTATCATAAATCCTGGGACAATCGATGAACAAATAGGTTTTGAAGTTGGTAGCTGATTCAGTAACTTAATAATTTGGTTAATGGCAATTTTTCAGTAACTTGAGATTTATGATAATAATAGCTATAACTCCAACCCGACCAAAAAACTTTGGGTGGGTTTGTGTTGAACGATTCATCGGAGTACTACTTTGCTAATATTTTAAACTTAAGTATTTAATCTCATAAAAAAAATTTGATTAGCATGATAAAAACATTGTTATCCATAACGGCAAGGCAAAAATAAAGGATTTTGGAAATGCAATACACAGACCAATTTACATAATGGTCTTTTTGGAATGATTTCATTTTTAGCACCCGAATTACTTGACTCAGCAAAATCCAAAATATTCCATATTGCAAAAAAACAGATTTCTATAGTCTTGGCATGATATTTTGAGAATTATCTAGTGATCATTCACCATTTGAAAACCAAACAAGTTACTGTATTCTATTTATCAATGCTATTCAAGGTGTTAGAGAGGATATAATTCCCGGAACTCCTGAAGAATACATAAATCTTTATAGTAAATGCTGGGATGCTGATCCACATGAACGTCCCGACATCGAATATGTGCACAAATTGTTAGAAGAAATTACTAAAATCTGGTCAAATATTGACTGTATAACTATTAATCCTGAATGTACATATTCATAATTGTTCTTATTCTTTGCTTTAAATTTATACTAACGTTATTAATTATTCAAAATTTAAGATAACAATAACACAAACACTTTAATTGAACAAACACGATCGACTGAAATCTATGGAATATATGGTAAATTGTCATATAGGTTATAATTCTTTTTAATAATAATTCTTATAATTTTTCTAATTATTACAGCGGCTTCAAAACCTCTAAATTTATCTGTCAATGAAGAAAGCGAAACAAATTAAGTAATATTGAATAAATGAATTAAAAGGTTCCAGTAATTATTAGAATATGTTATTTGTAAAAAGTTTAAACGCTATAATATTTTCTCGAGATACAACCGATTACGATTACGGTTGCTGCAAGGTAGGTCTGCATTGAACCCATTTATTCGGGTTAAAAAAAATTTTTACCGAAATTTTTTAATAAAGAAAGTTATTATACAAGTGATATTGATCAAGAGGCACACTTTTTAATATCTGAATAGCTTAATATCTAAGATTCGAACCTTTTGCTATATGAATTGTTAAAGAAAATGAATTTTCTACGGCAAAAATTGTTAAATAGCTTGAGAGATGGTGTAAACGGATTGACTGTTAGTCAATTAAAATTTCGACGATGAATTTTCTGGTTTGTTCAATCATATTTCTAAATCCAAAAATGTACAGCTCGATGCAGTAAACGGCGGTGATCTATTATTATTGATCTTTCAAAACTGGCTTTCATTGTTAATGCCAATTATTTTATTAAGGAACAAACCAAGATTTCAAATAACAGGCTCAGCGATTTGTTTCATGAAATCATGATTATAATTTGGCGAGCTTAGTAGCTCGAATGTTTCGTAAGAGAGAAAGAATTAAAATAAATTATTTAATGTAGGCATTACATCCCTATAAATAAAAGGCGATCCGCATTTTATATTCCATGTCTTTTCCGTAAATGTTGCATATTCACGGAAATTTATAACCCTAAATCATGGAGATTATTCGGCTTATCTAGATTTTGTCGATCACGCTGCAATTTTCATATAAAAAAATAATGGAATATTCGGATAAAATTTCTTATAGGGTATATGCATTATGTATTTATGTATGTAAAAATTATGTTAAAAAATAAAAATAATATAAAGTATAGTATATCACGAGTCACGACGTATAAGAATTGAATTACAACGCATAAAACAGCTATACAATAATATGATCGCAACAATACGTATGTTTCTACATACTGTGACTTAAAATAAAATGTTATAATTGCCTATAACTTAGTTACTATACGGCTTATCCCAATGCATTGAGATAGGGCCGGGAAAACTCTACAATAGGTCCCCGCCTCACTATATTCGAATACTACTATAAATATGGAAAATATGACTGACTTATCATAGATTCGAATTATTATAAAGTTATAATTCGCAGAAAAAAAGGTTACCGCCCTGGATTAGATTCGCATATATAGAATATAAAAAATGGCATCGCTATTAGTTGATTCGATTTATTATAAAATCAAGTACAAGTCCGAAATATTCCGAATAGAAAATCAACTAGCGTAAAATACGAGCAAGGTCGAGAAAATAATTGAAGCAAAGCTCCGAAAAATTCTGGATGGTTTTAGTAGTTTAAATTTATCAAGGTGTTCGACTAAAATGATTCGCTTTATTATTAAATTTTTTAAGGTGCCCACAAAATATAATAAATAAATTTTTTGGGGCGGGATCTATTATAGAGTTTTCCCGGTCCTATTGAGATCTGGTCATAATATCATTTTTAAAATTTTATAATATAAAATTTCTCTGATTGACGACATCTGGATATACGGACAATTTGTTTATCTTGTTTATCTTAGGGAGCGTTGATGAAACGAGTGACGTGCAATCTAAAATTTATAGATTGAGAAAAAAACTTTATTTCTGAAATATAATGGAATAAATTATTGTAAAATTTTTTGATAACAGAAAAAATTACATAAACACATTTACACA